TATATATATATATATATATATATATATATATAATTATTATTACTATTTACAAATAAGTTCTTAAGATCCTGTTAGTTTTCGTACAACACAAAAGAGTGAAAAATGTCATGTAGAAAACAAGGATCTCTACTACTTATGATTTTAAAGGAGTTTGTACTCATATGCCGTACCTTGCATGCTAAGTCTTGCCAAATTTCACATGTAGAGGATGTGAAACAAAATAACTAAAAAAAATATTGTTTTTCAAACAACGTTTTCACTTACCCTTTCCTTCCGAGATTTGAGACAAAAGAAATATTCTAGGGGACTTCCCACCTTTAAGAGGCTGAGAAAACCTTGTGTGGGAATGTCTGAACTTTTGATTGGTTATGATAGAGAGAAGTGGGTGTACGCATGCAAGTATTTCCAAAAATGGAAAGGTAGGCAGGGCGACTGTGTTTGATTTACTAAATATAGTGATATCTCAGCAAAGGGAAAAGATAGAAGGTTCTTATTTTATATTCTCTTGTCAGTATTGGTAATTTGAGTTTCTAGTTTGTAAAAAACTATAGACTTTGTATTTGGATATCACAAACATCTAGTTTGAACCAAAGCTGCATTCAACATGTCACGTGACACACAAAAATGAATATTTACGATTTTTTTAATATTTACTTTTGAATTAAAAAATTAACTAATGTATGATACTAAAATTTGAATCATTTACAATTTGATACCAAACTTATTGACATACATTCATAAAATTTTGAATGTATTAGGTTGTCAAGAAATTAATGTCACGTTTTGCAACACTTTCATTAACTGCCCTCCATAAAACGTACATCACGTATAATAGTTAAATGAACCACCTATATGTCATGTTGGTGTAGCCTATATAATGCGTAAAGTTTAGTATACTCTAATCCCTTATAATAGTGGCACACGATGATACACACATTCGGCACGTAATGCTGTTTGAATACAAGAAGGGAAACAACGCCTCTGTAGCCACAAAGAAGTTTATGGAAATGTTTTGAATATTCGTAAGTGTCAACGATGGTTCAGCAAATTTTGTTCAGGTGACTTTAGCCTTAAAAACTGTGACAGGGGCCAACATGTTGGAATTGATATTGATGCTCTGAAGACACTTGTTGAGTCTAACCCAAGGCAACACACTCGTGAAATGGCTCTGAAATGCATGCCTCTCATGAAATAATATGTAAACATCTAAGGAATATGGGAAAACTCCTTAAAGAAGGTGTTTGGGTGCCTCATGAACCCTGATGATCATCGTTTCCAATGTGTGAATGCTGCTTTGTTTAAATCAAGCCCTTCATCAGAAACGCCCTTCACTTGTCAATCGGAAAGGTGTTCTTCTTCTCCACGACAGTGCATGTCCACATGGGGCACGTTTGATGCAATACAAGATTATGGAGCAGGGTTGGGAAGTTTTCCCCCACCCACCATATTCTCCAGATATGGCACCATCAGATTACCATCATTTTCATTCACTGCAACACCATTTTAATGGGAAAATGTATGCAAATGTGGAAGGTGTTAAAGAGGACATTGACATGTTTTTTGCTTTAAAGCCAAGGGATTTATTTAATCAGGGCATTAACAACCTGATTGTAAGATGGAAAAACATCATTGATAAGAATGGAGACTATTTCATTTAATAACTGTTATGTTTTAATATATAAGTTGTTTGGGTTTTTTCATCTAAAAAAAGTGACATTAATTTCTTGATGACGTAATAGATTAATTTGGAAACAGTAAAGAGTTTTAAGTTAGTTTATTACTGCTGTAGAAACTAATGGTCTGGTTTGCTAACAATTTATTTTTGGACAAAAATAATATTGATTTACAGATGACTTCATAGGGAGTGAATCGTAACAACTTAATAAGTCTACAAACGTGATGAAATGCCTTTCAACCCTTGACCAAAGAAAAAATCTGTAGCAATAGGGTTAAATGCCTTTATCAACCTCTTGTACTTATGAATTAGCTCCTCTGACCTACCTTTCCTACATCATTAGCTCCTACGTACACAATAAGAACTCCATCATTGCTGGCCCCCTTTATTATATCTCTTGCTCTGTCAGTTTGATCCTCCTTGAATGGCCCTGGGTAGCATAATTAATTCTTTTCTCCTTATTTACCCAAGAGACTATCCTATCCACATGCTTTGTCAAAGAATCATTCACATCGTTTTCTGTCACTTTTTTTTTCATTCCCTCCAATAGTTCCTCACCTGCACAAGCCAAGGGCTGAAATCTGTTGCTTAATAATGCATGCTCATTACAATTAAGCCCATTACTTTTAGCCCTAATAGTACTGTTTCTATCTTGAAAGTTATTGTTAGCTGATGTATCCATTGGATGTAAAAGCTTAAGTTCCTGTTGAAATCCTGCTGCCATTTCCCACAGTTTACACCTCTCTTTATCTGTTGCCTCTACTTTAATTAGAATGGCCTCTAATTTATCCTCCAACCTGCAAAATCTTGCTCATCTTCACTGCTAGTTTCCTTAAAAATACATACTAGTTCTCAAATAAAACCCATTCAAAACAAATGAAGCCAATAAATGTAAGCAAAGAATTTTATTAACATTAAACAACATCATTATTATTAAGACAATGACAACACATAATTCTCTGTTGTTTAAAAAGTTAGAGAAAATACTTGTGTGTGTGTGTATGGTATGTGGTGAATTTTCACTTCATATCTTGTACATTCCTTTGCTATGTCAAATGCTTGTTTGTGGGAGTTTGAAATAACACTAAGCAAGCATTTGCAAGTTACAAGAATTGCAGAAAGCATTAAAGAATTTAAATTTTTGAGTTGTAAATTTCCATGTGAAAATGCTGCTATGAAGTTAAACATTTAAAAACTTAAGTTAAATTGCTGTTGTATTTCTTGGTAATAACATTAAAATTTATCAGCGAAGGGTTGCATAAATACCTGTAACTTAAGCTTGGAAAGCATAAGCATAATTGATCAATATATAGATGAATGTATGATGTAATGCAAGTTAGAGTTCCACTTTTGTTGATTGTAACATTACAAAGTATAAAACACTTTTCAATTTTATTAAACCAATTAAATATAACAACTTATCTCAATTGAGTAGAATTAGTGTGTAATGCCATAATTTGTTGAAACTGTCATAAATACCATTTGTGTCAGTGTTTGGTAGTTTAAGACACTGAACTCATAATTCATAGTCACCTGAATCTTGGATCACATATATTATGAGATCATGACACTACATCCAGTGTCTCCATCTCTGCATATGTCCAGTGTGTCGGATGTTGTGAAAATTAACTTATTTTGTGAATTGGCCATGCACCTGCACTAGTTCTGACCATGAACGACCATCTAATATCAAGCATAATTCACAGCTGGGGACATTAGATTTACTTAGTGTCTAGCTAAGTAAAAGCAACTTGTATTAAACATTTGAAAAATTGTCTGAATATATTTGAATAAAGATATATTCATTTTCTAAGTTATAAAAAAGATTGTTGCAATAATATTTGTATCCTACACTGTGAAATTTTCACAGTCTGTGGTAGTGTGTAGACCATCCATTGAACCTGGAAAACTTGAGAAATAGAGGCATTATATTGCTTAACCAAATTGTCATATTTTGTACTAGGTAATGAAATAATTTATTATACATCTCTTAGATTTTTTTCACTATTTTGCCATAATTCCCATTAATAAAAACTATTAATATGTGTACTTGTATGTTCCATATAATGGAAAAAAAAACAAGATATACTCTATATAGTAAATTCTTGTCTTGAAAAATGCTATGCACTGAGCTTCATTTGAAAACTTAATCTCATGTACGTGTGTTAGGGTAGGCAGAGGTAATCTAAGTGTAATGTTCATTAAGTTTGTAATTATTGTCAATGTTTTTTATTAAAATTGTTTTATCAATAATCAACACTTAGTGTTTAATTTTGCTCCAGAAATAATTGCTGATTGTCTTCTGTTTTTGCTGGCCAATTTCTGTTGTTAACCAACGGTATATAAACATCTTTTGCTTGAAAAAACAAACAAACCATTATATCAGATTTTGCCTTACATATATATTATGATGTTATTGAGAAGACAATTTGTTGTCAATCAACATCTTTAAAAAATTACTCAGCTTCAATATATTCTCTTTCAACAGCAGAAACAGGATACAGTGCAATCTCCTTGTTTATCAGGTCCTGACATTTTACTAGAAGAAAGAAATGGAATAAATGACCCCATCCTCCCATCAGCAAATTATGAAGAAGACCTCTTAGAGGGAGGTACAAAGACAGACATGACTCTTGAAGAGTTCATTCAGCATTTATGTAAATTAGGAAGAAAAGGGTTGTATGAAGAATATGCTGATATAAAAAGTAAATCTTTAGAAGGTACCTTTAATATTGCAAGGTAAGTTTATTCAAAATGTAACAGTGAATTTTACATACATTATGTGTTTCCATTTAACATGCCCTTGATAAAAGTGTACAACAGAAACATTGGGAAATAAAGGTTTATTTCATTTGATGTCAAAAGTCATCCAATTACCATTACTAACATAAGAATTTTAAAATTTCTTTTGATGAAAATCTGTGTGTTTACTCATGAAAATCGTAAAAGCTGAAATTTGTGCAAATCCAATACAATGCAAGTTGTAGTGTTGATATGGTAATGAGCAATTTACAAAACAAATACTTCTGTACACAGTTAACTAATTCGTCTTGAGTTTGTGCATTCTGCCTGAGAGATGCATACCACCAGCCTTTTGAAAACTCTCACCTAATTTCATGTGTGTGTCCAGGTGAATTTGCACTACTAAATGATAAAGTATCATGCAGCAAAACCCTCCACTAGTAGAAGTGCAACACACCTCCATGCACAAATACTCCCTCTACATTCATGTGCGAGAATCTTTATTCTTTCCCTCAGCACAGTCGTATTCAGATATGTTATGAATTTGCTGAGATTTGTGACCTTTTTCTTGGCTATCAAGTTTCAGTTTGATTGAGTTTAACATACTCAGTATTATTTCACAGATCAGTGTGAACTCTTATCTCTGCTAATGTTGGTGATGAGCTTTCTCACACAGAATAACTTACCACCATTTCTGCTGAAGTTCTTCATCTGTGGAAGATGTAATGGCCATCTAGCATTGTATGGCAGGATCCTTATGCAGCCAGACTGTCTGCTGTCTTCCACTCATTTCCTTTGTCAAGTTTTCAGGTCTTACTTTGAAGAGGATGATTTTGAGTGTTTTTTACACCCAATTTGCCAAGAATACTTCTCAACCTAATGAATATTTTTCAACTTTTCCCACTTGCTTTATGTAAATCTTCTACACCTGGTTTCCTTTCTTCTCCTCACCAGTTGTTCAGTACCTGAGATTTCCTTAGGGTTAAACTTTGCTTTTGCTCCCTGTCTTACAAGATAACAAATAAAAGTTATTGTTTAGATATAGTTTATTTCTCCTTAACATGTAACTCATAGGATTTAATGTTTGGACATTGTTTATTACTCCTTAACACATAACTCATAGGATTTAATGTTTGGACATTGTTTATTACTCCTTAACACGTAACTCATAGGATTTAATGTTTGGACATTGTTTATTACTCCTTAATACATAACTCATAGGATTTAATGTTTGGACATTGTTTATTACTCCTTAACATGTCCACATGCAATATAATGTTTAGATCTAGTTCATTAATCTTTAATTTGTACCACATACAATATAATGTTTACTCACAGTTAATTAGTCTTTAACATATACCACATAGTATATTATGTTTAGTCATAGTTCATCACTCCATCACATGTGCACAAAGAAGTTGATATTTGGTCATATTTAATTACACCTTACCATGTAAGCATACACATTAATGTTTAGTTACAGTTAGTTACTCTTTAACATACAACACATAGATGTTTAATATTTCATTCTGGTTGATTATTCCTTAACATGTTCATGTAGAAGGTAATGTTTAAATCTAGCTTATTACTTCTTCATATGTACATACAGAAGACAATACTTAGTTAATTATTCTTTGCTATGTACATGTAGCTGTTAGTATTTAGCTCTAGTTTGTACTCCTTAACATATATAACTCATTGCAGATAATATTAAGACATAATTAATTACTCCTTTACATGTACCACTTAGAATATAACATTTGGACATAACTGTTGATGTTTAAACATAGTACTTATTCTTTAACATGTACACTTAGATGATAATGTTTAGATCTAGTTCATTACTTCTTAACACTACTGACACGGGTCAAAGGCTGTCATCACATTTGTAGACTCACATTCAAAATATTATTGAACTACTATTTTATGAATGTATGTCAATAAGTTTGGTATAAATTGTAGATTATATTTCAAATTTTACTGTTATACATTAGTTAATTTAAAAGTAAATGTTAAAAAATATCAATTTTTATGTGTCACGTGGTATGCCGATTGCAGTATTGTTTCAAATTAGATGTTTGTGATGTTCAAATACAAAATCTATAGTTTCTTATGAATTATATACTCAAATTATGAATATTGACAAACTAGAATATAAGAGAGGAACCTCATATCTTTTGTATTTGCTGAGATATTGCTATATTTATTGAATCAACTAAGGTGGCCACACACACCTCTTCCATTTTTGAAAATACTTGCTTATGTACACCTACTTTGCTCAATGATGTGTGTATAACCAATCAAAAGCTCAGAATGTCCCCCTACCCTAGTGGTTTTCTCAGCCTCTACAACTTACTTGCACGGGAAACTCTTTCTTTTCATACTAGATTCCAAGTGGTAAGGTAAGACATTAGTGAGTTTGAAAAATCATATTTCTTTATACCCAAATACAGCTTAGTTACTAAGTTGGATAAATTTTACTGGAATTCTGTGGTATTGTAGTAATTCATGATTTTTTTGTTATTTCAAAATGCATATATAAAAACCTAAAAAAAATTATTTTGTTTTACATTCTCCATTTTTCCAAATTTGATAAGGCTTAGCAACTTGTGTCAAGTAGCAAACGAGTACAAAGTTTGTAATTGGAAGAGATAATTGTTTTTTTTTATTGTTCTTTAGTTACTGTACTATATTTTTAGAAAAATAATTGAAATTTAAGAAATTATTTGTAAATAGTAATAATGTATATACATATGTAATGTATTATAACTAAAACTTGACTGTATTTTACAAAATACTGGCCCACTAGCACACAGCCAAGACAGGTCACTTTGAAAAGGCCAGTCTTATATTCTTGGAAATAGTAACATGAGTGCACGTGCACCACATCATTGCAACTTCTATAATGTTAATAAAAATAATAAATATATTATAGATGTAGAATGTTGTTGGATTTAAACTATTTAGACTAAACATTTGTGTTTTTGTGTCATAATTTGTAGTGATTCTAGTATGAAAAAAGCCAAATTTATATCTATTTTTTAATTTTTTAAAATTAAAATTACTTTGCATGTTGGATAGTCAACATTCAAAAAGAAAAAAATGCATGAGCAAATCATTACTTAAATAATCTTAAAACTTGATACAAAATTTTGATATTTTGTATATAAAAGCCTTGTAATATTTACTGATAATCTGCAAAATTTCGTGAAGATACATCTACTGTATTAAAAGTTATAGCATGAAAACTATAACAAGCACAGAATGATTACGAGGTCTGTCTCTGGGACCAAGCCCATAGTGAGAAGGAGAATTAACATGTAGTTATTGTTTAGTCATAGTTAATTACTCCTTAATGTGTACACATGATTGATAATGCTTCAACCTGGTTCCTTTCTCTTTAACATGTACACTTAGACAACCATGTTTATTTCTATTTTGTTACTCTTTACCATTTACATGTAGGAGGTGATATTTCGATGCTGTTTATTCTTCCTTGACATGTAACATTCTGATAATAATGATGTACTTCTTAACATGTCCTTGTAAATGTTAATGTTTTGTCATATACAAATGGAAATCAATATTTATTACTACTTAAAATGTAACAAATAGGTAATGTTTTGTGATTGTTTATTACTCTTTAACATGTAAACATAGTAGATGATGTTTTGTCCTATTTCATGACTCCTTAACATGTTCACATAGACTATAATGATTAGATCTGGTTAATTACTCCTTCACATACAATTAGAAGATGTATTTGATTGTTGTTACTTACTCCTTAACATGTACTCATAATAGATAATGTTTAATCTTTTTTCATTACTTCTTAACATGTATACAAAGAAGATAATGTTTCATAACCTGTCATGTTCTAGGGGCACTGCACGTCATTGCAAGCTGTGTTCTCAACATAACAGTGTCCTATCCATGGAATGGTTCATCACTGACTAGTTTTCTGTTATTCTGCTTTCAACTTGTTACTTCTCTTTTTGTTGTACCTTCCATGCCCCTCATTGGTAACCTTTCTCTCTTCTGGTTTCCATTGCCTCATTCCTCAGCCCTTGCTGTTTATGCCCTTAGTCAGGACTTGTTCCATTTTTTTCATTATGTCTATCATCCTCATCACTTCCACTCTCAGGTCTTTGCTTTGTTTTGGGACACCCCTTTCAGGATCTTTTTGGTGGCCCCTTACAGGTGATCCCAATCATGGTTTCTGTTACTCAATCTCCATGTGTTTCAGGCCTGTCTTCCCTATCCCAACATTCTTTCCCTTTTGATCCACCCTCACATATCACTCTTTCCTCAGGATATGACACCTTTATCTTCACATGTGGAATTTGTCCATTCCACCTCCCTGATTGTGTAGCTGTCCCTTTGTCTCACATTTGTCACCCTTCTACCACTTCCTTGTGCCAATGTACAGGGTGTACTCATCATTTTGGTCTCACTGTCACCATTTCCCCTTTGACTTCATTGCATAACATACTCTTCCCCTTTCATAGGACTGTTCTTCCACAAACTGTAAGTTTCTTCTATCTTGGGTTTTGGGCAGTATTTCCACCACCTTCTGCCTTTCCTGACATCATATGATAATTTATTCTCTGTTTCTTTTCTACCCTCTTTTACTCCTTCCTTATTCACTGATTCTTCCTACTTCTTGCTTGACTGGATTTTCACTATGGTTCTCCATGCTCCTACCCAGGTCCCTGTCAAACCTCTAGCAGATGTTTATGCTCACTCTAGACACATTAGTCCTCTTACTACTTGCCTGTGATTGCTGTTGTTCACATATCCATGTCCTTATTTTCTCCTGCTATCTCATTATTGTACTTACTTTCTTTTTCATTCAGACTGGTCTTTCCTTCCCTCATATTCCATTGTAAGGGACAGTGATCACTCCTTTTCTCTCATATCTCCTCCTCCTATTTCTCTTCTTGGTGTTCTTTCTGATTTGGACAGACACTGATGTCCTGTCCAGGTCACTCTGTGTT